GACCACTGAGAAAAACAAACTGTGGGACCACTGAGAAAAACAAACTGAACAGAGTTTTCAGTCTAGAGACTATTTACGTTATTCCACAACTTGTCACAGCATGTGCCACCCTCTGCTTCCCACAACCCCACAGTGGAAGGGGAAATCCCACCTGAAGGGGTGGCCTTCATCAGACTTCTGGATGGCCTGGATGACTCCCTTGTATATCCTAAAGCTGATGGTGACGGAGAGCAGGGCCAGGGCAATGTAGGCTGTGACGCTGACGATGCTGAACACTGTTAATGAGAGCAGCAGGAACAGGCTGGCACCGAACACCACTCCCGTCTTCTTGATGTCTCGCCAGTAAAGCAGGTCAACAACTAGGATTGAAGCAAGGGGAGAAATTAGAGCGAGGTACCTTTGGCATCCACGGGAACACAGGAAAACAGCGCTGTTCGCTCAGCTGCTGGGAGTCACCAAGAATGGAAGGTGTCAAGGCAGAGCTGGAATCACAGCTAGAAATAGGTGAGTTAGTGCTGGTTCTGCACTGGACTCCAGATCACTGGATTGCTGCTATCAGGGTTACCTCACATGCAATTGCTAAAATTTAAGAACAATTCTGCCCTTAAGCAATGTCAGAATCAATCTCTTCAGCTCCTGTGCTCTGTTCTGCACCAGAACCACAGCACTTTGTGCTTCAGTTCCCCCCATTGTTGTGTATTCTGGGGAAGTCACTCCCTGAAGAGATGGATTCCAATTCCCTGTTGGGACAGATGACAAGACACCAACACATCTCTAAACCATTCCATCTTTCCAAGTCTGGTGGAGCAAGGGCCCTGCTCAAAGACTCATTAACAGTTCACTTTGTTTTCTTTGGATGGAAGCATTCCCAGGGGAGTTTGTAATGTTGATTGCTGGTGACAGACTGAGCCATCAAGAGGGAATAATCTCACTGAGATGTCAATCCAGGCTGAGTCTGCTGTGTTCCAATGCAAAAGACTTCATTTGCAAACCAAGTTTAGTTTTCCTTAAGCGACCCTCATTAGGGAACACAGTGTTGGGCCATTTTTAGCATCACTGCCCAGAGTAAACTACACCCTTGCACAAGCCTTAGGTAAGGGCTCACAGCACCCAGTGCAGATCTGTTTGCTTGCATTAGATACAGAGTTCAAGATAAATTATACAACAATTATTACTACTGTACTGCACATTTAGTAATCCTATCTCCTCCTAAACATCACCAAAATTAACTGCAGAATAAAGTACCAGAGTTCAGGACAGATTCTTTGTCTGAATGACTGTAAAAAAAAATTTTTGTAAAAATTGATTAATATTTTTTGCAGGATGAAAACCTGGTAATGCACCAACACTCAATTCTTGGCAGCCTCTGCAGGGCAGACTCTGTGCAACACCTTTGTAGCTACAACATGCCAAAGCCACTGGGGCTGTGGTGTGTTTTCACACAAGTCCTTTCCAATTATTCCCACAGGGAAACTGTACTAAACTGCAGGAAAGATGAAAATCATGGTGAGAAAATTAAATCCATAATGCAAAAAATTAAATTCATAATGCAAAACATTGTATCCAAATATTCAGAGTCATGTTTCAACAGAAATTTGCTGCAGCCCTGCAGAGCCAGGTTAGAGCTGCATGGACACCTTCAGTGTGTGCCAAACCAGACCTGGTGTGGGGAGAACAGCCTCCCCCTCCAGCACCATGCAGGCACTGCTTCCCCCCAGCCTGGCTCTTTGTGCAGAGCCAAGGCCATCCCGGCAAACCAGGAGCCAGATCGGGCCCTGCAGGGGCCACCACGTGACGGCACAAACATATGGGGTGAGAGATAGACCCTGAGAGATAGACCCTGCCCCACCAATCCAAGGCCTCCTCCGACTCCAGCCCAGCCCAGCAATATTTGCCTGGGTTTCTCTGACTGTGCTCCTCGGCACAGAAAGAGCAGTCTCTGTACACCCTGCACTAAGCGAGTCGAGCCTGTAAAAGGAGCTTATAAAAAAAAAAAAACAAACCGGGAGATTGACTTAAAGGTCGTTGTAACCTGTAAATCTAAACGGAGCTGCAAGCAGCCCCCCGGGTGAGATCCTCAAAACCAGGCTTGCCAGAAACAGTCGGTGGATTTTGTGCTGCTAAATAATGCAAGAAACTCAGAAATTCAGAGCATCTGCTGCAAATACCGAACCTGTGTTTATTTTTAAATGCTGCAACTTGAGCATCCACACATTTGAGTTTGGGAGCTGCCCCTGTATCGGGTGACACCGAGTGCGAGCCTGCAGCAGCACTAGTGCTGCGAGTGAGAGACTCCCTCCTCTTTAAAGCCTCGCCACTGACGGGGCCCTTTGCTCCACAGAAAATCACTTATTCCATGCATTAATGCATTAGAGCAGTTATAAGGAATGTAAAGAGAGCGATTCATCACAGTGAAGGGTTCCAGGAGAGAGAAACAAAGGTAGGCTGCTGGAATTAAAGCACAAAGCAAATGCCAAATGGCCTTTAGAGACCCATCAAGTAATCAATAAGAAAAATCCCCAAGCCAGAAGCTCCCAGACCAGAGTGAAGCTGCACATGGAGCATTTTTCCTCGTTCCATCTCCTCTCCATTTGGAGAAGGAGCAAATGAGCCTCGGCTTAATGACATATGGATCTGGTTTCATTTAAATTCCTCAAAGGAAACTCAGTGGTTTATAATTCTGCAGTCCAGGAAAGCACACGATGCCAGTAATTTATATTCTACTGATGAGAAACAGGTACTTGCATTTATTTCTAAAGGAAAAGATTCAAAGCATTACTCGAAGCAGCTTTCTGGCTTTAACTTACACACAAGACATTCACAGCAGATGAAAAGAAAAAGAAAAAAAAACAGAAAAAAAACGAAAGCAATTCTGAGGAACAGCCCTGCAGTATCTTCCCTTATAGAAACCGTTTTAAGCTTTCTTTTCTACAATCTGAAGAATAATCTCCCGCATGTAACGCCCGTAGCCCAGGCCTATTCTGACCCAAGAACAGCTGCCTACATTTGGTAAGCACGAACTGGCACTTGGCACGTCTAAAAATAGTGCTGCTCCATCCGTGCCTTACATGCACAACTCATCCAGTTACATTTTGCTTTTAAAGCGAGTGCTAACAAAGCCATATTTCTAAAAGCCTTTTTCTTTCAGATTTTTAAGTTACAACCGAACAATTAACGCCGGTTTGGACGACAAAAAAAACCAAGCGGTCTGATATATATTTAGCGCGATAATCCTCTTTTAAAAAGCAACCCCTGAACCGAGCTCGCCCGGCTCTTTTTTTAGAAAGAGCGCTGGGCTGGCGGAACGCAGGTGCCACAAAGCAAAGCGAGGAGAAGCACTGACCCATTTTGGCCTCCATCTTGAGCGTGCGGCTCGCCGGGCTCTGGCAGCGCTCGGCCCCGCCGCTTTTTCCTCTTCCTGCCGGGGCGCTGCGGGGTCGGAGCTACGCAAGCTCCGCCAGCTCCGCCAGCCATCCCAAAGGCGAGGGGCCGGCCCCGATGGCTGCCTGGGAGCGCAGCTGGGCAGGGGAACAGCTCCCCTCTGTGCGCCGGGCGGGCCAACAATCCCGCCGCTTCAGCGCCGAAGAAAGGCTGTTTGTGTCGGGGCAGAGGGATTGACAAACGTTACACTGGGACCTTTCTGTAATCTGGAAGGTGAGCACAGACCCTTTATGTTGCTCTGATAACAGCGCACAGGCACGGGGCTGAGCCTTTGCCGAGCAGCTGAGGAGCGGCCGGGGCTGTACCAACCCAGCGCTGAGAATGGGCAGCTTTCAGGGCAGCGTCACAGCTGTCACCGGGCACGCTCGGCTGGCAGAAAACCCAAACAAACCCCACAACACCACCACAAACGGGTGGCACTCCTGTCCAGAGAAGCCTTTTCCAGTTACGCTGCATAAACTCCACGTTCACACACGAGGTGATCTCCAGGGCTCCCTTTGAGCATTCCAAGCCCAACCCCGAGGAGAAGCCACCAACCATCAGGTGGTCACCGTGTCCAGCACCAGCCCCACCAGCACTCCAAAATTCGACGTTTTCAAGGCTTCCTGCCTCAGAAAGATTATTTAAAATTCCTGTTCGTGTCCTAAAAGGAGCAGAGACTGGGCCACAGAACTGAAGGCTCCGTTCACGCTCCTCAGACACGTCAGGAGCTGGTTTGGTCCTTGAGTGTCTCCCTGCAGGTCAGAACCAAGCAAACAAGCCCCGGGTGTTCCACATGACTGCATGTGGGGCCCAGCACGTGGGGCCAACCGAGCCCAACAGAGCCTTCCCTGTCCCAGGGACAGACATCCCCCCGGAGCAGCACGTCCAGCGGGACGCATCCCAAAGCTCACCGCACAAGGCTGCATCACGCACATTCCAGACCTGGCACATCTGCCCCACAATCCCTAACCAGAAAATACAGATTTCACAGCCCAGCACTACCAGATTCTCAAAAAACAAGCCCAAATATTATCTAAGCATTACTAACAAAGCCAAAGAGGCACTTTTCTCTCAGTTCTACTTAACTGTATACTCATACACATGGGCACAATGTACCAACAAACACTCCAAAGCCCTGATTATTCATGGAAAAAAATTAAGAATATCCAGGCCTGCACAAGCCTATGCAACCTCTGCCATCATTCAACTGAGCTGAACCAGAATTCAGACAGATTTTCAGCCCGTTACTTAAAAAACACGAATCCTGGGACGGCCTGGAAGTACAGCTGTGGTGTTCATCCTACCATTAGCAATATTCAGCCATTAAAACCTGACAATTCGTTGAAATCATTAAAAAATAAATAAATAAATGCTACTTTTTATTGCCAGTTACTCCATAGGGCCTGCCTTTGAAAGAGCTAAAAATAAAAGTCATGCCACCCCCAGGGTAAACCTATTTCACGCTGCCTATCTAGATGATCAATACCACAGGTATGAATCAATACCACAGGTTGTACCACTTGCATTATGCTGGTTCCTCACCTACAGCACACCTGTCACATCTAAATTTAGGGTTATGTTCATCAGAAAGTCGTGCTTCGGCTGCCAAGTCCAACTGTGAACCCACACTTTTCGCTCTTCCCTAGTTTTTGATTTAATTCTTTTTGAAAGTCATTTTTTTAGCACGGCAAGGGGCATGTTGCAATGTTTGCTTCTGTATTTATTTTGGGGCACCACAAATAGTGCAATCGGTCCCTGAACTTTACCCATCGTTCTCCATGCCCCTGGAGCCTGACCTAAGGAAGGAGGAACACGAAACACGGCATTCTAAACAAAACAACACACTAAGCCAGGCTTTGGCACCTGCAGGAGGAGAGGAACCAGGCTCTTCTCCTTCCCCCAAAACCCTCGTGGCTGCTTCCATTTTCCTTCAGGC